CACCGCCAAGTGGTTTTTTTTTCCACTGATGAGTGAATTCGTTGATCTTATAGAGTTTGGAGATGCTAAATTATAGATTATTTCCTTATTACCAACTATACAACAGTGGTGCTGTACAGAATTGATCGATATTTTGATCTTGATGTTTTGAAACAATCTTATATATTGAAGTGAGAGTTACAATAAGTCAGGTTGTACTCTCTAGAAAAATATCTTACTTCTTTTCACTTGTTTACTGATATAATTACTCCAAATGATTACCATTTATAATGGTTCTTACATAACTAATGTGTCAATCCGAGTTTTGGACCCAAAAATTAATTTTGGAAACGCAAGACCAAATTTAGGTATGTCAAGTAAACTATTGTTTTGATGCAGTTTTTTATTGCGTTACAGCAATCGTCAGCACTATCTATCTTCTGCGCATGCGGAGTTCGTTTCGCATCACTTTTGTGCATCTATGCATGAGCAGAAGATAGAGAAAATAGCCGATTACCGCACGCTGAGCATTGCAAAAACTCCCTCTTTTACACATTAAGTTAGAAAACTATTTTTATAATTTTAAAAACTCTTAGTGAAGTAGTGATGGCAAAAACCTGATAATTGAGATACTGAAAATATTTTCAGGATGAAACAATAATGCATAAACAAAATGGTTGGGAAAAAATGTAACCATCTAAGTGCAGATTGTTTGGGACATGTCAGACAAATTGCTTTCCAATGTTAGAAATATCACAATTTTTATTATTAGAATATTTTGTTCACATCGCTCATTATATTTACTTTTTATATTTTCAAATGATATGCTTCACACACACACACACCCGCTCACACATCACTGGGAACAACTTAGGACCCGTAACAAATTATCTCGTACGGTCTACGAGATTGTGAAATGCAAGAATCATCCTTCCACAGATGACCAAAATTATTTGGTTAAAACAAAATAATTTTTAAGAACTATAATTCATCATAGGATTACAAATGAAGGTCGCAGTTAATCAGTCTTAACGGGGCGGTTATCCCTTCTACTAATAGTTATTTATGAAATAACTATCTTACGGCATGTAACATCTTACGACTTAAGAATGCAAGAATGGAGAAGTATCAAAAGAGCACCTTAGGCCTATTATTATAACCAATGGAGAACTGTAATAAGATGTTACTACAACTGGTGTTCATACAACTTTTTATCCACTTTGTGAAAATTTCCATGTTTATTACTTTTCGTTTATCTTTCACTGTTAATCCTGAGAAACATGACAGACCGATGTTGTTAGGGTCTTAAATTAATACAACGCTTGTGTGAAGACTATGACTTTTCATTACGAAATGGATTGTTATAAATAGCGGGGCGTGGTTCTTTTGTTCTAATAACAACAGTAATCTCATTTTGTGGAGTTTGGCTTTAGATAACCAAAGTTGACAGAAATCTTCAATAGTTGTTAATATTATTTACATAATGTTGCCAAGAATATTACTAACTACTCTTCGTGATGCTACCCGTAGTAACAAATGTGAATTTAAAAAAAAATCTGCATCTAAAAAATCCAAATTATTTCCCAAATTTCAATTCTTTTTAAAGAACTATCATCTCTAGAGTAAAATGTACACTTCTCGGCAGTATCATATTCACATTTAATTGGAATTGATAAGGCTAAAATTATAAATTATCCCGTTTAAAGGCATCACGAATAAATAATGTGGGGAACAATTATCAATAAGCATTAGACAGATTTATGTTAAATTATATGAAATGGAATATCTTAACAGAATATTTGCAAGCAGCCTTTCATTAAATTACCATACCCGCTAAGTACATGTAAATGACATGGTACGTGAGAGCAAGTTCTGTTAACTATACCGTAAATGGGAAGTCCTTCTGCGAAGCTGTTTGATATGTTTAAATTTTATATTACTGTAACATGAATCATTTACATGCAACACCTTGCACTCAAACACTGAACATGCACAGACCTCGATTATATATTCTAAAATTCTCGGTAGATTGACTTATCAGATGTTTAAACACATACAAAAGGTAACATATATGGAACACTGTACAAATATTGTATTTATACACGTATTCATAATTAAACACTTTACAAGTAGTTTTAAAATCACTTAAAGTATTATTCACTTTTAGTTAGAACACAAATACGACCAGATCTGTCATTGCAGCTACCAGACATGTGATACACTTTATATATCATACGTTTTCTTGAATCCCTCAGATCATCCATTTACATTGTTTGTAAACTCAAGGTTAATGAAGCCTGCCAGCAGACCACTTCTCTTACAGAGTCAATTATCACTACTGCATGAATCACATCTTCTCGACAACCTTTTTACACAAAATCCATCACAGGCCACAGACAAAAACTAAATTCCCTGGAGCGGTCCGGCGGCCTTCGGAAGGCGTCACGCTTCGAATCGCGCGCAGCGCCGAGGGTTTTCGCTCTGCGGCCACACCTCCACCTCCACCTCCACCTCCCCTCCCCTCCCTCCCGGCCGCATCCTCAGAAAGAAAGAAAGAAAGAAAGAAAGAAAGAAAGAAAGAAAGAAAGCGGAGTGGCAGTGGAACTGACGACAAGCGATGATAGAGGAGGAAGAACGCCACAAGAAGAAAGGACTAAAGAGGATGATAAATAAATCGCCAAGTACTAATAATAAACAAAAGTATTTATTAGGAATGGTCAGACAGACCGGAGAGGAAAAGGAACGATAGTCAGGCGAGAAATAAATCACCGGAGGTAATCGATTGGGTGTGGTCGAAATGGACCTCATGGTCACAACGACGGTGACTGCCGGCTTGCTAGTAAGATGGCGCGTCGCCAACATCGGAACGCGGTCCTCTCATAACAACGGAGCAATCGGCACCGCCCGTGCAATTCTTTGAGAGTCACTCTGCGCTCGTTTGAACACGAATGATTTATGAAATTTGTCTCTCAAAGGCAAATGACAGGAAGAAATTAATATGAAGGAAAGAAATTAAACAGATCTTTCTGTACGATACAATGTGAAATAAAGTAATTAATATTTCTTTCAGACTTACTCTCAATCCGATCTCAAAACTAAACGCAACTCTCAAACAAAATTTTCAAGTTGTGAACAGAATTTACAATACAATGCGCCATTTGCTCACAATATTATAGTTCTACAACTACAACGTCAGTGAATATATATCACTTCAGGATTCTTGTCCCATTCATATTGAAAAGAAAGGTTGCCAAAAACAAAAAAGTAAGGAAGTGGATACAAATGGATAAGATACAGTCACTGAAATAAGATGTATTGATTACTAAAAAATCTAATTCCCTTCTCCCATCAGATAAATGATAATGATAATTGACTAGTTTAGTGTTTGCATTTGACATGAAAGCCCTGTAATACATGCCCACATTGCTCATATGCCTTAGGGCTAACCCGTCGCAAAACAAACATGAAGGTATCATAACTCCTCCCTTCTTCCTAGAATCTTAAACACACCATAATACTTGGTATTTTCACCATAGCAATTCCATAGAATCAGAATCATAACGAAGAAAACTGTTTCATCTCTCTTTTCCCCGCTTCCTTAGGAGCGGGGAACAAGACGTTCGACAGTGTTCTCATATGCGCAACAGACAATCAGTGTCGCCCTGATCGCAGACTTGGAAGACAGGTACGCGCGACTGAAAGGTCACAACATTTTCCAAGCTCTTGGTATCACCACAAAGGCAATAAATATTCATTCTTTTGAGAGGATTCCTTTGGGCTGGCGAGTAGAATGACGATGAAAAGAGTTAAAAAAACAGTGTTTTCCGGTTTAGATCGATGATCACGGACGACCGAATGCTTCGAACCGCCAGAAAATCAGAATGTTCTGTTGATGTTAAATAGAGCAAGAGTGACAGTGGTAGGGTGTAGAGTGAGGAGAGATATTACTATCAACGTGTGTGACCTCTTCCATTGTAGTCCTTCTATGTACTAAGCGTGCAAACAAAAGCGGTGTTGCTTCCTAATATTTTTCTCTCAAGCTCCTTGAATCACTTTGAATAGAACCAGTTCATGTCATCGGAATGTAGTGTAGATAAACAGGACGAATAAACATTTTACCCCTTATTGTTCACCTCTGTGATCATCCTGAAGTCCAAAGCTTTGAAGTACAGGATCACACGCCCAAAATTGCCACAACGTGTCCAAAGTTCTTGGAATCGACGCAAAACGGTCGTACAAAGTAGACCTACTATTTATGGGAAAACGGGGCGGCGAGATTTATATTGAAGTGTTGGGCGGACACGAGGCTTATCATTGTAGATTACTAAAGTCTAATATTCAAGTACAGGATAGTGCTTACAACAGCTCTAAGTTTCCACAGCTCCTACATCCACAGGAGGCACTTCCCTTATCTCGTAATATTCCGTTCACGAGTAAGGGTGTCGAAGATACTAAGACAAAGACTAGGGGGAAGAGAGTTCATCCCACCCATAGAGAATAAGGCTTTCGAAGCGCGTATCTGAGCACCAAACAGTTCCTCGACGGCATAGCTCGGAGAGCCTTCGCACGCAGGTTCTTTTTAGCTACCTTTACACGGGGAATAGAGTGAAGGGGAAAGAACAGGTTGTAAGTAGGCGAAAAAGGTTGGTCCGACGATACTAAGGCTTGGATCGGAGGGCCGCGCGCACACACAAACGTTCATCTCAAAGTCGTTTGGTGGGATGTAGAGTACGGAGAGCTCTTCATCGTCGACTCGTAGAGTAAAATGCTTTGAAGCGCTGGACGGCGCTCACACACGCTCCATGACTTCCCTCCCAGCTGTTTGAATCTCCGCAGGCCGCCCCCTTACAAGGGCTTGTTCACGACACAGAGGGGTGTAGGCCAGGAGCAGGGCGGGTCATGATAGTTGACTCGTATATTCTAAGCCTTTAAAGCACAGAATCACGCACAAAAGTTCCACTATTCCACGCCAATCTCGTGAAGTGCCCGCGGTGGATGGGACCAGCCTTACAGCGGCCCTCTCACGGGGCGTAGGGCGGAGGGGCGAAGGCCGGGGAGTAGGGTGGCGAGGAGAGCTTGTCGTCGCTGCTGTCGACGTCGGTGTCCTCGGTGGAGTCGGAGGCGTCGCAGCGCAGGCGGCCGGGGTCGTCGGGGCCGACGTGGGCGTGGGCGCGGGGCAGCGGCGAGCCGCGCAGGGCGGAGGCGCGCGCCGCCTGGCGCCGCAGGTCGGGGCGGATGAGCGCGGACAGCGCCGCCCCCACCACCAGCGACGCGCTCAGCGCCAGGTTGGCCCACACGTCGCCCGTGGCCTTGAGCAGCCACGCGTAGCCCACGGTGAAGCCCACGGCCAGCACCTGCGACCCGGCCATCAGCACGCCCGCCGTACTGTTCTCCGACTCCGGGAACGTCAGCTCCGACGCGAACTCGAAGCCCACGGGCATGTACCCGCCCATGAAGCACCTGCAACCGGAGACACAACTTTAGAGTTAGGGAACCGTTTTAGAGTTATTATAGAGAGGATGTGCATGAAATGTGGAAATGGAGCTTCCAATGCTGGCGTAAGCACCAGAGAGCTCATGATCAATGGCCGACAGAATGATGATTCCAAAACTAAAAGAATTACTTCACACCAAAGTACGTTTAATGCGCTTATTCTGTAATGCAACCTGTGTTTCTTTGAAGAGGCATAGCCATGTTGAAGTTATTGTAGACGTAAAACTTAGAAAATAGAGAAACTTAGAAAATAGACAATTATGTATGTGCGAGATGCAAACCCTAAGTACATTTGATATTAAAAAATAAAAGTGACGTGTATTAGTTGTAACAGTATCTCGAATAGAATCCGACCTAACAGCTTCTAGGCCTGTATTGCAGGTCCTCAGCAAACATAACAGTTTGCCTTCTAACACTTTTAAAGCCAAATGAATTCACAAACTTTTTTCTAGAGCCACGAATCCAGTGATTAATGTGGGGTTCGATAACTCACTGGACTCAGAGTATAAGCATCGCATTTTGTTCTGCTGCTTCTCTTTGGACACTGGATGTAGTCGAAGAATATCCAATACCCAGCTAGTGAACAAGCAATAAGCAAATGAACTTGAAACTGCATTTGTTGAAATTTTAAAGATATTCCTTACATTGTAGTGCTTTTATTTTTCTCAAACATTAGTTAAACTGGTCAAAAGTATTCACTCTCAATCCGTGGGCGAGAACAGAGTTCAAGAGCTCATCAGTTCAAACTAAGCAAGTTTAGCAGTAGCGAGTAAATTCGAAAGTGCATTTCTTAGTTATAGGTAATTAATTGCAGTTATCACAACTTATTATAATTGGTATAAATCTTATTCATAATCCACATAAATAGTTAATCGCACAATATAAATGTATTTCCGCCTAACTTTTAACATACCGTTCTTCACATTCAGGCACAATCCAATATAGATGATAGTCTTTTGTGAACACAGAGTCAGAAGAAGCCGGAGCGAAAACATATACAACTATCTTTATGAATGGTTTGATTTTGATAATTATTTTCCTTAAAAACAAAAAAGCAGCTTTTCATTAGAAAAATGTATAATAAATGTGTAGTAAAAACCTCACACTAGAGACATTTGTATGAAAATATAATTCTTGAGAAATTTATGTTACGAACAAATCCACTTCAAAGATGTTTTGAAATTTCGAAACGTTATTTTAAAGAATATTCTTCGTTTCTCCTTCTACCCCACCGTTGCAAGAAGCATACTCAGACTACATTGTAACTGCTTCTCATTCTAATGATTCAGTTCTGTGGGACACTGAAGGCGACATGCAGCATGTAATTTGGGTATCCCCAGTAGACTGTTACAACGCGTTGCAATGTCATTAACCGTGCGTCACAAGGAGCAATCAAGGTGAAAGGGAGAGGTTGGGGAAATACCGACTATTTCTGAGAGTTTACTCCTCAGTTCTGAGAAGTTTAGTAACTCTTTGACAAGCATTGACAATGGAAAATTGCTCAAATGTAGTAACCTGTAATACGCAGGCTACTCAATGAATGGAACTCATACACCACGAGAAGTTACGGTTAGAAAATTATTAAATGATTGTGTCTTCTGTGATGATAATGCGCTTTGTGAGAGCGTTCTTCTAATCAGACAAAAATAAATTAAATTGCCAAATTAGTACGAAAATTTGAACTGGCTTATTCAATTTCCCCATCGAAGGATCAAGGCGCACAGTTTATACAAGAACTGAATCTGAATGTACAAAGACGTGTATTAGTACCTCAGAACCGGAATGCTCTTCTGAGTTACGTCATCCCACAACACAAACATCCTTCTAAATTAACATCCAGTTTTTAATTTACACGTCGTGACTAAATAGGATAATAGGTAACGGCGAAGGACAATGGTACAAACAAAGAATAATGGTAACAAGAATTAAAACTGTAACAAAAAACAACTATATTGAGCAGGTTCGGCCCGCTGTCCACTTTGTCACCGCCGCCGCCGCCTTCGCGACCGTGAAACACTCGCGCTAGGAAGGTTGCGTCTCGTTACCCAGTTTGCCCGCCCGGTTCAACCGGTTTGCAGGAAGTCCAGAAAAGGCGTTTGTGCGTGGCTACGTGATGCTGTAACTGATTCCAGCTTCTACAGTCAGCAGAAGATCTGCACGGAGGCAATATTACCAACAAGCGTTCTGTCTCCGGGAATTCGTAAATTTTATAAAAAATTAAATTAAGATGCACACAGTTGTTAATGTTCAATGAACAACGAAATACGATTTTATCAACCTCTAATCGGTTTCATATCATATCACACACTTATCCTCCAATGCCTTTATCAGTTTATCGTATATACCCACCCTAACAGAGTTAACATCAGTAGAAACCTTATTCACACAACCAGAATTCAAAACATTACTTTCCCTTTCACATATTGTTGAAAAGAGGTCGACCATTACATAAATTGGCGGTAACACTGTTTCCTAAGCAGATGTATTATAATAAATGTAGGTCTGTAAGACAACTTAAGACGAGTTAGTCTGTAAGACAACTGTACTTTCGTAAAGGTACAAAAATTCTGAGCTACGTACGTGTGATATATTAATAATATACCCTTTATTACGACAATTTTGAGTTCCTTTTTTGTTATTTTCGAGATGAATTATTTTAATGTTTGGATGATAATGAAAATGTGTGAATAATGATGAAGCAATGGCACAGTCAGGGATAATTCCGAGAACATCTGTAGGGAATCCGCTTTGTTCACCACAAATTAAATATGGATCGCATGGGATTTGGTCCCCGGTACCCACAAATAAAAACGGACTTCCGCCTAGGCAAACTACCTAGCTGCTGAGGGGAAACATCATCAAAGGGGTCCTCAGATGACCCGAATAAAATATAATAGGTTTCCAAAATATTATTTTTAGTTCATAAAATTGAAAGACAGTCTTCAACTATTTTACTAGTTTTACATCTTTTTAAATATATTTATTTAATTTAGTTTTTTATACATTTGGACTATTGGAATACTAATTATAAATAAACGGAAATTAGACACCACTAATATCAAAAACAGTAACATTGCTTGCTGTAGTCGTTTAAATAGCAGCGTAGTGTGAGAAGGGAATTCGTTTCCTTCACCAACACGTCCACTTATCGACGGAAATCAAATTCAATGTCGGCTACTGCGTTATCTCGGAGGACATGCGAATACCATTCCTTAAGTGTCTCTTTTTGTTCAATTACTAAAACGCAAGGGTTCTAATCTTTTGATTGCCTAGGGGCCCTAGAGGTCTGGCCCTGCTTACAAGTGGAAGGCAATCCGCCTGATCACTACACCGACAATAGTAATAAACTGAACATTTTTGTTTAATTACTAAAATGCAGGTGTCCTAATCTAGGGCCTAATCTAGGGCCTAATCTAGGACCTAATCTAGGACCTAATCTAGGACCTAATCTAGGACCTAATCTAGGGAACCTTGACCTTGACGTCCAGCCCTCCTCACAAGTGGAATTCGATCCGTTTGATGCTCACCGACAGTAGTGATATACTAAATAAAAAGAAGCCCTCACTACATCGACAATAGTGATAAACTAAACATTAAAATAAAATAAAAAAACTCACCCCACGGCGGCGACGGCCGCGTACACCAGCGCCTGCGAGCCGGTGGGCAGAGCGAACGTGAACCCCACCATGGCCAGCAGCGCCAGGGCGAACAGCGCCAGCGTCGTCTCCCTGCGGAACAAGCGCATCGTAAGACTCTCCGCCAACTAGCAATTGGCTCCAGATTGATACCGGGAGAGGTGGGTCACGGTATGAAAAGATGCCACTGCGGTACCTCTGACCGGGACGTCCTAGATTCGAGTCTCAACGGTGCCAGGATTTTCGATAGCTTGGAAAGGGGATAGCTTGTCAGCTAGGTCGTTTTCAGACGCTATGTGGGGGAGCAGCCGGCTCCTCTGATCCGAAGTTTTCCCTGTTTTTTCCGATCAACACCAGGTGAATGTAGGAGCACTCCTAATTAATGAGCCATAGACCGCGCGTGATCTTTCCTTCCTTGACATATCACTGGCTGACCTCTTAAACATACACATATTTACATGCACTACACTAACACACATACTGGGAGATCGGTCGGGAGCTTAGAGCTTGTCCCGGCTGGGGCGGTGCCCCACTGGTGGGAGAAATCTGAATGCCCCTTAAACAGTCGATAGCTCGGCGCCAGATTTCGTCATCCAGTAGGTGAAGACTACTTTCACTTTCCACGCTAAACATGCACTACACTTACGAACTAATGATCTTAGCAGTTGACATGCCCGGAATAACTAACCAATGAAACAATATTGATTGTTTTGTATTTCCGGGCGCGATAACTCCAATGGTCTTTGTCCCGCCAGTTTTTGTTTGTTTTTATCGGCGGTTATTTCCCTACTGAATGGTCAAATCCTGCACAGACCTACAATTGCGACTTGCGATTTTCTTCAACTAGGTATTTCCCTCCTGCGGGGCATCGCCTCGGGCGGGACAATGGTCTGCCTACATATGTGGTGGCGTAGTGCATGAAAGTGGAAGTGTGTATAAGTATGGGGTGAGAATAAGACCACGATGAGGTAGGAAAGATTCCGCGTGGCTTGTTGCTGCATTTGTTAGGGAACTGATTTGGCTTTACACAAATGCTGAGGAGAGTCACCACGGAAAGCTACCGATCAGAGCAGCTAGCCGCTAGAAGTTTCTTGCAGACAGCGAAAGAACCTCGACCTAGCTATTTGGATAGTAATTAAAATCCTGCCACAGTCGGGAGTGGAACACAGAGGCCTGTTGCATCAATTGATACCATGAGACAACTCAGCCGTTAACTGTGTCCAGAGAGAAGGCTCAAATCTGCATGAGTAGAACGGTCTGAAGGGCTTCGAGCAGACGAACGATACCCCCCCCCCGGTCATAGTAAGCCTCCCACTAATTAGAAATGTTTATTTCACGATATTGGTGGAAGTGAGTATCGTCCCGTTACTAGCACAAACCTCTCATAAATACAAAGAAGAGTTGAAAAGTAACAATGTATTCCACGCTTTCACATAAATTGAGAATTCAACTTTTTCAAAAGGCGTGAGGCAAGATGGAACTGGCGAACCTTACACCGGCTCTTCTCCAAGCCATTCTATTAAATAATTGATAAGTTAACGTAAAACATCTTCGCTACGCACAACAATCAGACTTAATGCAAAGAACGTTATCGGGAACATTTTCTTAAAAAATTGGCCTGTCGCTCCGGACGGGCTCCCTTTGCGCGGCCTTTGCACTAGGCACATGCTTTCGCCACAGCGACCACTGCCAGCGACCTCCGCGACATGTCGGAGAGTTTTTGACAGTAATTCATGCCATACTGAATTGGAGAGGCGTGGTCGGTGTTTAACGTAGAAATGATTCGCATTTATTTCACCAACATTGGCTTGAGTCGTTTCGTGGGCTTGAACCGTTTTACTCCCATTTATTCTAGTCATTCCGCGAACTGGATAATGTTCTCATAATATGTATTTATGTAGCTAGAATGCAAGAAGTACACTTTGAAAATTCGTTTGTAAACAAAAATTTTTCCTTTCATAATTCCGTGTTCCAACTTTTGTCTTTTATAGGTTTCTTTACAAGCGTGATAGAAGTAAACACTAATGGCTCTTTGAAATTCATTATTTATGGCTTGCTCTTTTACGGCCGGTAAATGACTAATTCACATGCACACGCATTTTTACCAATATTATTTTTAGTGGTAATATTGAATTAATATAAATTATTCGTGAAAGCTATTTCTAACCTTCAACTAAATGCTCTGAATTCAAATCTAGAGATATTAACAGCTGGTGCTCCAAAACTTATGACTGGCGAAAGGTAAGAAACCTCAGAACGATTCTGTTTCCGGCAATGCTCAATTGTCTTGAAAACTATCAAAATATCTGTATACTGGTCTGATCGAACCATATACATTGCAACAAAAGAAAAACATTCCAACAATCAAAAACAATGCTTTTAAATTTTTAACTTTTCAAGCGCAGTAAGGTGTCACAGGCGAACAAAATATGCTCTAGAGAAACGTATTCACCAGAGTTCGCGTGGCAGCATGAGCATTAGCAAATATTGTGCAACTTCTAATCTAGCGCGTCTAACTTAAAAAAATTTGGTGATGACGTTTGAAGACATCATACGTGCTTTCAGTTGGAAGCGGTAAGTCTGGACTTAATTATTATGATTAATTAAAGTGAATAGACACGGTATCTTACTTATGGTAATCTCTCTAATATTTTTGCCCAAGATTTTAACGTCAATTTTTAGTACATGTTACTCACACGTCTCCCTTGTAGATTGGTTAGGAATTTTAAATAAAATAATATTAACTAATTTCAAAAAAATAAGTATTTTTTCAGTCGTCGTGAATAGACTTAAGTTCTCATTTATTTTAGAAATCTAAACTAAGGATAAAATGTAAACCAAGTGTATACAACCCAAATAAGGTAAATGGGGAGGTTTGGATGGATTCTTGACACCTAATTTATTTCAAGTCGTAAAAAATATCGACGATGTTTCAAGTCTATATTTAGCCATTACCATTACTCCAGATTATATTTAATCCAACTAACCCTACTGGTTATCAGTAGTATATTTCTGTCTTCACAAAAAAACTGGGATTATCAACACCTGCGCGTTGTTCACTCCTTTCAAGAGTGATTCTTTCCATATTTCTCACTCCTGTTCTGCCGAAATTACACTGTGCAAGAGCACGCACCACTAAGTCAACACTTTCCCATGACAGATCTTTCTCTTCATCCCTTTCTTAGGAACAATACAGTAGGCTTTATGTCAATATTAGTATTATTAAATATCTTTTAAAGTATTTATACCCAGGAAGAGGCGAATATAATTGAATGGATGAAAACAAGAACAGTATAAGTGACCTTTTATAAATTCTAAGAAATATGTTTAAGTTAATATCAGTGTAAAGTCGTAGTGTTATGTTTCATAATTAAAACCAAGGCATTTCAATTATTCATCAAAACCACGAAAATACATTGCCACTGAAATATAGCCTAAACTAAATACGTTTTTCTCAGAATTTATAAAATGTCACTTATACCGTTCTGATTTTCACCCATCCAATTGCTCCTCATGGAATTAAACTATACACACAACTGAAGATTAAGGATCTTCACAATTGTAATCAAATGGGTTTTTGTATAAAAGTATTATTGATCCTGCAAAAGATGCTAATTTAAAAATTAACTTAAATTCAAATTTTTACTTCTGTTTTCAAAATTTGCAATCTACAACGAAGGTATATAAATTATAACAGTTATGGATAATTTTGTAATCAAATATAATTTCACAACTACATTTTATTTTCATCATGATACTGAAGTATCATTTAATAAATCGTTTATAGTTTTATCACAAGAATCCTTAAGCAAGTTTTATGATAATAGTGATGTTGTTTTTAAGCTCTGTTTATTTTCACGTGATAAATGTATATGCTTTCGCAAGAGAAATAACCTGTTCAATGTGAACACTTGAAAAAAATTGAAACTAAACACAAATGTACTCGTGAATATCGTAGCAACATTTCCACATAACAGCTGCATATCGGAAACTTATGTGATAATGTAAGCAATTTTCTTCAAGGCACCGACCCAAAGTTCGTCCTTTAAAGTTGTTCGAGAAACTTGCGCAATCTTAGTACGAGTTGAGCTTCGACTTATTTTACAAAACTCATGGCGTCAAACACGTTTGTGTCAACATGGATGCATGAAAAGACGTCATGAAACCCAAAGAACTAATAATTTTCAAATAAACATTTAATAAAATTTAGAATCAAAAAGTGGTCTCGTGCTCGAACTAGCTTCTTGACAGAATGAGGACATCGAAACCGGAGTTGGAACCAAAGTTCAGTAACATTTCACTAGACTTGTGTAACAATCATAAATATCGATTATTATTATGGCTCCTTGAATTATAACTATATTTTATTACAAGTGTAGAAATAAAGTTATAATGCAGAAGAAGTAGGCATCGTGCAGTTGATTAGGAATTTCTGATTATGTAAGACCAGGAAATAATTTGCGCTACAGCTGTTTAAAACAGTATATTAAGTTATTTTCGCAAACAGCAACTTTGTTTCAACAAAATGAATCAGATCTTATTGCCAACTAAACGTTCACACATATTCACAAACTACTGTGTTGGTATAACTATTCGCAAAAAAAAAAAGTGTTTACTAGTGGATCTTTTTTTCGTTAATTTAATAACAGAGCCGTCTTATTTGCATTTGCTCGTCACCAAGTGTAGTTTTGTTACTTACTTGAACTTATGTGTGCGATCTAGTACGATTCCACTCGCCACAGAGCCCACCATGCTGCCGACGATAAGAACCAGTCCCAGGCGCCCTGCGAATTCTTCTCCGTCCTGTAAGAAATAGCGTATTATTTTATACAAGCTTTTCCAAATTCAATAACAAATTAACTGCAGGAACTATTTTTTTGGAACTGAGAGTTTGTAACAAATTGTTTCCACGTTTTTCTAATAAACGATATATAAATCGGTATGTATGTCTACGATGTACATGATAGAGGGAAGAAGATAAGGAAGGAAATGCATAGCAAGAAGAAACAAGGAAAGAAATGTGTAACAGAGATTATAAGTCATCGAAATACTTTCATGATACAGTATCCAGGATCATTCTGCAATCAGGAATTTCCAGAATGGGGTCTCCTATCCAATGAAATGTATTATGAAAGCGAAAGCGAGACTAAAGTAGAAACTGAAAACGATCAGCGAACTATGATGGGGAACGGGAAGTGTATAATAATGTCTGACGAATGGATGCACTTCATTGCATGTGACAAGCTGTAAAAGGTTAGAGAAAACAATCTTATTCAATCGAGACGACAATGGACCTTAAGAAACGCCTCCACTTTCATGGTTCATCAACATCTCAGTTCCGACTGCACCCTCTGCCGGCGAACCGAAGGAGCCTTCAGGCGGTCTTTGGAGGTCCTCTGACGCGGTCGGCGACCCAAGCGAGGAAGAGGGGGTGACAGCGGAATCAGGCACCTGCTTGGCCGCGCAACAGTGCCAGGGTCGCAGCAACAGCCCATGAGAGTTCTCCCTATGGTGCAAGTATAGAAGGCGGCACAGTGGTCATTCTGTATATTTTACAGGAGCGAATAAACCAATAAAATGTTAGCATAAATGAACTTGTCTTGGCGCTCACTTGCAAATTAAACGTACAATTTTTAACGACTTCAAATGTGTCATATGTCTCGTACATTTAGTGAATTTGAAATCACGAGTATATTCTAGGGTATGTAGTTTATGTGTGAAAGAAATTACAATTTAATAAATATCAGAAATGAAAAACGCGATGAAGATAATTTTCACATTGCTAATCGCATTTTAAAAACGCCGCAGTACGCTCAGCAGTACGCAGTACGCTCTGAGAAAGGTCACATGTTGGCCGAAACGTCAGCCACCACGACAGAGACGCGGTTGGTCCCGGATAGCCTAGATAATGCAATTCAAACACGCCGAAGCCGCCATATTTATAATAGAATGGCCAGTGTGTTTCCTACGTTTTACTAAAAGTACGATATTACTAACTGAAGCGCTAGTTTGCTACCCTACTTTCGAATTGTGTCACCAAGGTGTACACATACCGTAGTTTCCCCTTCTAGCTCTAAAGGCTGATAATGGGCTATTAATTTTCATCCCACATAGCGAAGCAGGGGACCACAATGGTGTTGAAGTTCAGATACATATCGCACTGAAAGACACATGGTGTGAATCTCACATATGGAAACATGTTATACGATATAAAACATTTTAAAGCCGACTTCATATTACATCTGTGTTTATAAATCATTAAAGGTATAATAATTTGGAGGAAAAAGAGATAAACAATGATGGATTAGCAAGCTCAAATATCCACATCTGAAGAGTAACTCGAATCCAAAGCTCCTCCAATTGAGACATTAGGATGCTCTCATCATTCAGATACATGAATCAGCTATCTACAATACATTTACAACCGGTTCGTTGCCATTTTTCTCAGTATGTAATGGATGGCATTAATTTAACTTGATACCCGAGCGAAATAGAAAATGAAGAGAATATCGGTAATATCTATATTAAGATAATTCATAATTTTATTACAAGAATTGTTGCTAAGTATGCGCAGCTATTCTGGTGTAAAAACACGTATTTTGAAGTAACTGTTTAGTTTATCTTATTGAAATTCAGAAATAGTTAATTGTTCATCTTTAATTTAATTTGCGTTCTAAATTTCTCAAGGATTGATTGGTTGATTACACGGCATCAGTTGATGCCCTTAGCCACCCAAGCAGGTCAATTGCTCAACATGCCTTTTCAAGTATCGTGTCTACTTTAGTGGTGTGTCATATTTCGTATTTAATATTAACCTTTATAAAATGGCAAGATCATGAGATTTTGTAGAAACATTGGCAAACTGCTATTTATCGTCCATATTCGCAAAGGTAACAGCATCTCCTCCAAAACCTTCTTATCCAAACAGCCAAGCATAATTGTCTCATTTGGAATAATTGGAACGTAAAATGAATAACCGAAAATGGCATAACGGACGAAATAAAAAATTAAGATATTCGAGTTCTCATGGGAGTGTAAAAATCTCTTTCAGAAATTGTGATCAAACAAGGCATGGTCATGTTCTTAAAGCAAATAACGAACGATTGCCGAAAATAGTAAACTGGTAACCCTCTGAAAGAATAAAACAAGGAAAATCAATTGTGGAAATGAAAAGCAGACTTCCTGTAGAGATAGGGAAGGAAGAAATAGAGATGGATGATCAGGAAGAGACAAAAAACGGATCAGGATGGAACTGGAGCCTACAGTTGAAGACAATACGTCATAAACTGCAGTAAAATAAGGAACGGCAGTGGTAACGTTCGGAACGTAACGACCACGCAAAGTTCGCTACGCTCCTTTCACCATCTAGCGGAGAACGAAGGTATAACTCGGGCGACGAAACAGGCTATTTGAATTTAGCTCAGAGTCTTCTTTTAGGCTTGAGGATATTTTACATGCAGAAAATCTATAATATGACTTTAGGGAAGACGTACCTTAAAATAGCCCTTAAAACTCCACGGCTTCGATCGGGTTTAAAGCGACAAACTAGGGTACAACAGGCCGATGCGCTAAACGTTATCCCTCCGAAGCCCCAAATCTGTACCTTGTAGTGCACGAGTACGAGCTGGTTGAGGAGCGTGGAGAGCGCGCTGAAGGCGGCCACGTTGATGGCGCAGGCGGCCATGAGTAGGCAGAAGGCGGGCAGGCGCAGCAGACGGCGCAGCGGCGCCAGGCAGCCCGGGCGCACGGGCGCGCGCGCAGCAGCCTCGGGGCTGGGCGGCAGCGGCGGCCGCTCCTGGAACACTGCACACGCACCCCGCTCTACAAGTGCGCTCGACACACACACACACACACACACACATGCATACTCACACGCAAGAACACGCATGCGCGCGCGCACACGCATGGACGGGCACACACACACACACACACACACTCAAGCACACGCATGCGCGTGAACATGCACACCCGTGCGCGCGAACACGCGCGCACACACCACGGACGAGTCCCCCTTCAAAAATGAAGTCTGGAAAATTATTTTAAAAAATATTTATTTTGTGATTTTACTGTTTCGTGATTGTTTTTTTATAATATCGACTTTGCGTAACGAACAAAGAAATGAAAAAATGAGACATTATACTGTTATCACGACGAAAATCAATTGCAATTTCTTTTCTATTTGAATTTGGGGTCAAAATTGGTTCACAATAATTCCTTCAAATTCAACTATTTTTTCACGGTCTCTGCAATTATTTTCATCCTGATAGATGCAATAAAATCTGGGGACAAAAGAAAACTCGAAAAATACGTTTCTCGTTGTATCACAACATATTGGCCTAGATGGCTGATTTTTTGGAATTATGTCTTTTTAATTCTCTTTGATATGAGCATCGCGATTATCGATTTGGTTTGGGCACTCTTCACCGCCTTATTCGGCTATATCCTTTAACCTCTTTCACTTCAAATCAGGTCAACATTTTCGAAAAATGGACGTTGCTGAGTTATTTTGAGACTAAGTAGCATAATCCAGTTTTCACAAGTTTTTGCTTACAACGCCAAATTTTACGATGCTATTGTAGCTTAATTGTTGGTTGGGGAAAAGAATCGTAGAGACATTAAATTTAAGTAAAGTTATCTTTTATTTCCTACATTTTCATTATTTACGAAACATTGGTGTTTTTCAGTTATTTTCAAATAACCGAAAGACGTAATTTCCTGAGAGACTTTTACGTAGGATAGTTTTGTCTACTCTGTTGGGTACTTCTCTATTATTGTTCGTATGTTGTGTTTATTCACTCGAAAGAGAAGCATTTGCCTGTCAGTTACGTCATTGATCAACATCTTTGAACTATCACTGCTTTCTTTGGAAACAATAGAATTACTGGAAATGGAGAAAAAAGACGTACGTATCTTATTTAATCTTCAAGATATTCGTTAATTAATTAAAAACATTTGTTCTGCGTGTTTTAAACATTGGCGTTTAAATTCGACACTGCGTATGTGATAAAATTATCAAGCGACCCGCTCAACACAAGAAGCAAACAACGACCTTGCTACGAACACATGCTCGTGAAGCCAGCATGTGCTGTGTACGGAAACTGGGCCTGTGCTTGATAACTTAGTGATAGCGTGCACTAGCGGACGGATTTGTGCCAGCAAATCAAGGTCGTCTCTAGAAAATTGTTTTTCTCAATGTCTAGCGCTAAGAGGATCTTGCAGAAATCTATTTCAGTACAGCATGTCGTGAAAATAAGATGTTTTGCTCAACATGACTACGTACTCTACATTGAATATCTTTGAAGTTTGAGGTAATTGCAACTGAGGAAAATGAAATTGTCAAAAGAATGTATGGATCAAATAACATCCCACAATAAATGGTTATAATAATTGTAAAAGTGAGAGGCAAATACTTAAAAGCACTTTTGGTGGAGGTGATAACCTTTTTTAAAAAATCAGCTTTGAAGTGTAGAATGATTAATTTGATGTTCAATGTGTCGTGATATCACTTATTTACCACAAATTAATTTACATTCTGAAGTCAATATGAAGTCAAGGTATTTCCAAAAGCATATCTTCATTCCACTTAACAGCAAATATAATTCTTTTCGCTCTTCTCCCCCTTCTAATCTCACGTGAGATTTTTCAAAATGCGTATTTTTAATGTAAATACGTTAATTTGTGATTGATTACATTGGGATTTATTTTAAAAATATAATTTGTTTACTTATATTTACGTATTTTGTGTTAGATTAATTTTCTCAGTATACTATGCTACTTGTTAAAGAATTCACATCACCGCGATAAAAATTATTGTGCAAGGTTTACATATCTAGACGGTACACATATTTTAGTATGAAGCAAAGCAATTTAGCAAGAAACTAATTTTACGTAACTTGTCTCAGTTTTTGTCAATTTAGCTCTGTTTTTAGCAACAACAAAAAAAAAAAAAAAACGTGATATTTGCTGAGGCTCCCCTCTCCCCCACGTATATTAGGTCAGATCCGCCTTGACCCCCCTCCCCCTACAGGCCTCACGCAATCTATGGCCCCAAGCGCCACTCACAGGAGGCGATGAGCAGGAAGACGATGGTGGCGAAGGCGGCGGTGATGTAGAAGAGGCGCGCCAGGTCGCGCTCCACGTCGTCTGGGTGCTCGTGGTTGCGCACCAGCAGCGGCGTCACCACGAAGCTCGACGCGATGCCCAGCTGCAACACGCCCCGGACACATGACTCGGGTTAGAGCTGGATCGGATCCCCCTCCAAAAAATAACTAAATTAACATTATTTTAATTAACTTTAGTAAATGTTAAATTAGTTATTTTTAGTGATTTTAAAATATTAGTTATTGTTTGTTTTTTAAATTGATTCTAAATCAATTTTTAATAAGTAGATTAATTTAACAATTAATTTCACATTGCTTTATCTAACAATTATTTACAGACAACCATATTTTTTCGAATTCTTTGGGGGGGGGGGGGCTAAGCAAAAGCTTATTTTGCTTGAAAGTAAGTCTGGCTTTGCGACAGGTGCTCTGGAACGATCCTGTGCTGATCCACAAAATATTGTGAATAAATAAAGGTGTATTGAACAGGATAATACTACTTCAGAATGTGAAGCGATCGATTTCGATTTGTGTTTTTGAATAATGGCGTAAAATCACGTGGCCTTCGTACCTCTCCCCCTCGTCTCTGAACTGAACTGAACTGAACTGAACAACCGTTTTCTGTTCAAATTCGGGGTTCATCACCATCTGGTCCAAAACTTGTGCAACTCACGCGTCGAATACAATAATTTTTTTATCGAATAACGGTCGTCGAGCAGGTTACGAAAATATTTTACATTATCTCTAGCAAACGGTCCCTGTGTCAGTAGAAACAATTCTAACATAAACTGAAATGGTTTCGAAACAATTATTATTTAACATTTCATGTCCTCAGGCACCAAGTTGTGAATTATTAACATTCATAATGGAACAAAGACGCATATTGTGCGATGTCATATGCCATTATAAAACCTCTTCTTTAGCTTTTCTTTATCTCATCTTTAACTGATTTGTGTGTATGAAAAATGAAGCAGCGAACAGCTCCCCAATGAGTTCAAAGAAAAAATCTCAGATGCGGTTTTAATTCACGAAGAAAATCATAGCATATTTTTCTGAAACAGCCTTCGATGTTGATTCCATGTCCCGATAGCACTTGAGGCATTTGTTTTTCATGGCAAAGTATTACATGTGAACAACTTTGCCGTGTATCTTGCCTATATTTCCATTCGTCCAGTGGTACTGCATCTAATATGAAAAGTCGAATAGTATATTCAGTCTTCGCGGAGTCATGTGATTTAAATAGTAACCATTTTCAATAACTCCATTTTGCAAACCTCTGTGAGTAAGATAGACTGAACTGCAATGTTTTGCAATGATTTTCAACACAAAGTTTGATAATTCACATTTTTGCATTCACAGATATTGAGATATGCTGTGGTTTGGCGAACGTATTATTTTGAAACATTCAAACTGTCTGCTTTCGCAATTTGAACCCAAAAATGATACATCATGTTGCATTACGCGTGACAGTGTAATGAAATCTCGACTATTACGCAGTAGAAATGACGTCGTAGCCAAGGCATACAAAGACGGACGACGCAGGCCCCGGGCACCACTCATCTCTGTGAAGGAGGTCGTTCATTCAGTCTCGCACATTTCTCTTACGGGTGCAAATATTTATCTTCGTATGTGTTCGAGAAGAAACGGGCTAGCTGTTTGAAGAGAGTCATTGGACAAAGCGCAAGGGAGAATGGCAAGATCGTTTTTGGACAGTTTCCTCTTAAGAGGATACCTTAAATTTCGAGAAAAATTACACCACACTTAAATTCTATGATTATATGATATTTTTGGAGATTACATTTTCTTCAAAATAAAGTTATCAAGTCTAGAACTTAGTACCTACGTAGATGCAGATTTAATTTTAAGATTATTCTAAAACAGAGAAAGGTGAATTTTACACAGTAACAATGTAATAGTTTGTCAAATTCAAAAACAATAATCGTCTGAAGGAGTTGCATCACAGTCAATCATCTGGTACGACATGAACGAAAACAAAAGCCAAAATGCAAGTGAAAAAAATAATTATCCTAAAAGAAAATAATACAAAACATCAATGAGTAGTGGATAAAAAGCAAGGGTTGAGAAGAAAACCAGAAAATTCCTCCGGAAAAGGAGAGAGGAAAAAATACAGAGGAATGGGACAAGAAAACTATGAGGAGGGGGAAGAATCAGATAAATAAGGAAGGAAAGAAAGGAGGAAGACTAGAACAAGGAGGAGAACAAGGAGGAGAACAAGGAGGAGAAGGAGGAGAAGGAGGAGAAGAAGGAGGAGAAGAAGGAGGAGGAGAAGAAGGAGGAGGAGAAGAAGGAGGAGGAGAAGGAGAAGGAGGAGGAGGAGAAGAAGGAGGAGGAGAAGAAGGAGGAGGAGAAGAAGGAGGAGGAGAAGAAGAAGAAGGAGAAGAAGGAGGAGAAGAAGAAGAAGCAAGAGGAGAATGTGGAAGAAGAAGGAAGAGGAGATCAACAAATATCTACGGAAAGAAGAAGAGATTCAAGGAGAGGAGAGAATAAGACGAAAGCAGACTAACAAAGCGAGATAAAGCACGACCAGAATGAGAACACGAATTGCGAGGGAGCAAGCTAACGGGTAGGAGGTACACCCAGACCACAACAAGCAAAAGTGTAAGGAAGGCAGGCAGGCAGGCAGGTCGTGCTCACCATGTTGCCGAAGACTCCGAGCGAGCAGGCGGTGGCGACCTCCTCGGAGCCGAACCACGCGGAGGCGAGCTGCGGCGGCACGCCCAGCACGAACACCTGCGCCACCGCTACCACAGTCTGCCCGGCCAGCGTCAGCGCGAAGCGCGTCGGCTCCACGGAAACGCACTTGATCCACGAGCCCAGCGCCGTCAGCGCCGCGCCCACCAGCATGCCCTTCTTCAGGCCCTGCAAGCACCGCGCACCTGCCACTCCGAGCCCTCGACAGCGCCGCGGGCCCCGAACTCCCTTCCTGATTCAGGAGGCCGACGCTCACATTTCCCCTAAACATCACGGATTCTACATACATGACCTTGCCGGAGCTTGGCTTTTTCCCCTTATCTCGATCTCTCTCACTGTGAAAATACACTGTGATTTACAATATATTATAGATTCTACGCTCTCAAAGGTCTACGGAACTGCTAAATTGAAAATAGGCGTCGATGAACAGGCGGAGACACGAAATTTAATTATTGATTAATTATTTAGCATCAACTATTAGAGTCAGTAGACACGGAAGTGTGGCGTAGTGCATGTTTTACATCTCGGAAGGTGACGGTGTTCTTCCATTGCTAGAACGTGAGGTCCGGCGCCGATATACACGTCGGCTTCCCACCTACAGGTGTCTCTCCCAGCAGAACACCGCCCTAGCTAGGTATGAGCTCTAAGCTCCCGACTGGTCTCTCGACTTGTGTGGTGGAGTAGTGCATGTAAGGTTGCGTGTGTATGTGTAAGGGGAGAGGAAAGGACAGGAATGAAGGAGAAATAATCGCCCTTCCCATAGGATACTACTCTGATATGCACTGGGTATTGATCCGAAAAATATCACGAAAAATTACCTATCAGAGTAGTCTACTATAATTTTGAAGATAGTCGTGCACTGAAGGTGGTGAAACGCGATCTTCGAAGTGTACAAATTTTTCACTCCGAAAAAAATATTGTAAAGGTGAAATTTTGACTATCTCTACCCATCATTTTCAACAACATACCAGAAGTCCATTTCGCCACGATTGCATACGCAATAAGTGAATTACTGCTTTATAGAGCAGCAATGTTTATTTTAAAATGCATATATGCAATTCCTTAAGTCAATAAAGCGTTCGAACTCTTGGATTTTATGCCATAGTCCTGAAAAACAACAGTCAGAACAAATTCGTCCCAGAAGCCCGAACTCTGACTCTGAGTGTTATGAGTACTGCCGAATAATAATCACTTAATTGTACTAAACCTCTGTGCGCTCAATGAACTTGAAACGATCTTCTGCTTTTGCCGTTCGGCGGAATCAAATCGCCGAATACCCGGATTCGAGAAAAATGTAAAAGCTAACTTAATATGATAGAGTGATATAGCCTGATTATACGAAATAGGAAACTGCAGCATATTCATTCGCCAAATCTAGAAAAGAAATGTCGATGTTTCAACATTAGCACTTCCCAAATAAGTAATATCTACACAGGACAGTTAAAATGTTAATAAGGACGAACAATGGGTGTACAGCAGCGTATACACTCCTTTCCAGAGACTCTCCGTCATCAATAAATTTAAAGAGCCAACTTCTCCATAAAAAACCGAAACTATGTAAATAAATTCAGAAAGACTGTAATGAATTTTATTACAGACCGCTTATTTATCTAGCACTGGCGTATACATGTGGGTATGGTACCAGTAGAACACCAAGTAATTAGCGTTGCTCAACAACTGGCTGAATTACCGCAATCTGCACGATATAAATGGATTGACCCCCTTACAAACGATCCAATGTTTCGAAGAAGATAAATAGCAATGCATTTAAAGTATTTTTGGAGTAAGTTAAGGTGGACTGCTTAATGAATTTGACAGGGGTGCCAAGAATGGCTGGGACAACTATTCCCAGGCCTCAACTTAATTGGGGCCGCAATTTTTTTTATCATTCAAACAAATAAGAAGTGCATTTCTTTCAACCTAAAATCAATTGCCGTGAATTATTTCTGTTGCTTGTAGAAAAGAATTCTGTTTATGTCCGGGGAATGGAGGAGAAACATCTATTTGGGAGATACAAAATTTCAAAGAAAATCATATGTTACAACAAGACTGTCATTAGCATTTGCGAGATTATTAGAAAGATCTCATCAAAGATGTGCAGATTAGAGCTTAATTCAAAAGTTTCTTACACAATGTGAAAATAAGTCTGTAGAACAAGGAACGGATTTACATAGTTCTTTGATGTCGATCTTTATGTTTTGGCCCCAAATGATGCTCGTGTTTCTAGAAAATTCAGATTGGCATTTTTCTTGTAGTGCACAAGAATTGCGTTGCAAATTTGGGAGCTGGAAAATATAAACCGTGAAAATAATTTTTAAATCGTTCTTTCAAGTTTACCGCTCGTTCTCAAAATCCATTATAATGTAACTTTTGAATAAGGCATAAGAGAAGAAATTAAAATATTTTACATAATAATAATTATTATTATTATATAAATGAATATGTATTGTAATAACTGTATACATTGCTACTGATGGGTCAATAAATAGTTGAAAAACAAACAGTATGATATTAAGTATTAATGAGTATGTTGCATTATCCAACTTTTGATTTCAATAAATTTCTATAAAATAAGACATTTCTGAATTTTTTAAAGTAATTCTTGCAATAAATTATCTAAGCCACTGGTATGTATATATATATATATATATATATATATATAT